CCTCCTCTTCCTCCTCGTCCTCCGTTTCCTCTCCCTCTTTTTCTTCCTCCTCCTTCTCCTCGTCCTGCTCCTCGATCCTCCTCGTCCTCGTCCTCCTCCTCCTCCTCCTCTTCCTCCTCCTCTTCCTCCTCCTCCTCCCTCTTCCTCCTCCTCTTCCTCCTCCACGTCCTCCCCCTCCTCCCTTCCTCTTCCTCCCTCCTTCCCCCTCTTCTTCCTCCTCCTCCTACACATCCTCCTCCAACTCGTCCTCCTCCCCCTCGTGTTCTTCCTCCTCCTTCCTCCTCCTCCTGCTCCTCCTCTTCCTCCTTCTCCCCCTCCTCCTCCTCCTCCTCCTCCTCCTCCTCCTCCTCCTCCTCCTCCTCCTCCCCCTCCTCGTCCTCTCTCGTTTTCCATTCCCTCCTGGGCCCCCCCCCCACCCCGCGGAGGGGCCGAAGGCGTCGAGCCCCCGAGCGCCTTCGATCGAGGCCGCTCCAGGGCTTCCGAATTCAGGGCCTTCATTTTCCTGTTCCTCCTCGGGCCTCCGCCTCCTCCGCCTCCTCCTCCTCCTCCTCCTCCTCCTCCTCCTCTTCATAGAGGATCATCATCATCATCACCACCACCATCATCATCATCATCATCGTCATCATCATCGTCATCATCATCATCATCATCACCACCACCACCACCATCATCATCACCATCATCATCACCATCATTATCACCATCATCATCATCATCATCGTCATCATCATCAGCAACAGCAGCAGCATCATCATCTTCATACTCATCCTCATCCTCATCTTCATCCTCATCCTCATCACCCTTTTCGTCCTTGATCCTCTTCCTCTTCCTCCTCGATCCTCCTCCTCCTCCTCCTCCTCCTCCTCCTCCTCTTTCTCTTTGTCGGGCCTCCTGATCGATCAAGGGCTTGAGCCATGGCCAAGTTTTGGGAGTGGCCTGGGGGCCCCCCCTCGACCCTTTCCCCCCCGCGGCCGATGCGGTGGTCCTCCCAGGGCCGCCACTTGGGCTCGACCCAATGGAGCCCTGGAGCGGGCGCCATGGTGGGCCCCGCGGGTATACCTGTTTTTCAGGGCCCCGCGGGACCGCCTGCCCGCGCGGGTGTTTCCCAGGGCCCCGCGTGGGTGTGGCCCGCGGGACCCGCCGCTGCCGCGCTCGAGTGGTTCGGGCGCCTCCGGGGTATCGAGCCCTCTATAAGTACCACTTAGCGTGGTACGACGTTCGGTACTGCGGCGGCGACCGATTCGTGCTGTCCCATCGTCCAAAATCACCTCCTCCTCGAGATCCACCTCCTCCTCTTCCTCCTCCTCCTCCTCCTCCTCCTCCTCCTCCTCCTCCTCCTCCTCACCGCGTGGCTCGATCGTATACATGGTAGCGGAGCAAGGACTGGCCCCCTGGACGGTCGGTGTAGATTGCAGCGGGGCGCACTGACATCCGCGACGGCCTCGATGTCGGTTGCGGCTTTTCGCTGCTACCGCATCGGATTCGATCTTCGCCTGTCTCATTTTTTTGCTCATGTCTGGATTTTCTCGGACGTTTCAATTATTAATTGAGCCGATTCCGAGCGCCTCAAATTAATTGAGACGGCAAGATCTCAGGGCGTGTCCGCCGAGGAGCGCCGCCCGCCGCAGTTGCGAGACGGGCCAAGGGGGCTCAAGAGAGCCGGGAGCGAGCCGGACCTCCACGGGCAGATGATAGTGGACGGAGGCTCGAGCTCGTCGGCTGGACCGGCGAGCGCGGCAGTGTCCGCCGGGCTGGTGCAGCCCGCTCCTAGCCCAGAGGGGGCTAGAGGAGGTGGCGACATGGAGGACTTGGCAGGGCCAGCTGCACGAGCTGGCAGCTCCATGGACGTCGGCGCCTTTGACGAGGTCAAGGGCAAGATCTACAGGGAGATCCTGGCGCTGGTGAGCGCCACGGACCTGATCGGCGACAATGCCATGTCGATCAAGGAGCTGAAGGAGGTGTCCGCGCTGTTGACCGAGATCAACGGGGTTGACCTCGCAGAGGTCTACTTGCCCGAGCGCTTCAAGGGGAAGGCGCTCGGCATGGGCCTGACGGCAGGCCTCGCGGCGGACCTCTACACCGGCTGGGACTTGCTTCGCGAGGACCACCGCCGAGCAGTCATGAAGAAGCTGCTGGAGGAGGACCCTCTCCTCACCGTGACCTCTCCGCCGTGCACGGTCTTCTCCAAGCTCAGGCAGCTCAGCAACTTCAAGCGGGACGAGGGCATCGTGGCTTCCGAGGTCCTCGAGGGCGAGACACACCTGGAGTTCTCCATGAAGGTGTGCGAGAGCAGGCATCAGCGAGGAGCACTTTTCCTGCATGAACATCCCTGGGGAGCATCCTCCTGGTCGCGGCCGTGCGTCCAGAGGGTCAGGGAGTTGCCGGGCGTGTACCTTGTGCGCGGCCCGATGTGCCGCTGGGGCCTCCACGCTCGGGGGCCCGATGGGCGCGAGGCATTCGTGCGCAAGGAGACAGGCTGGCTGACGAACTCGCAGGTCTTGGCCGACATCCTTGCTGGGGAGTGCCGCTGCCAGTCCATCGGCGGCGAACCCTACCGGCACGTGCACTTGCTCGGTGACAGGAGGGCTCGAAAGGCGCAGGTGTACCAACCCCGCCTGGTCAGAGCCATCCTTCGCGGCCTCAGGGAGGAACTTCGAGCTCGAGAATCGCTGTCTGACCTGGCGGGCTTCACCGCCGGGCCCTCGCCTCACGCCGAGGATATGGACCAGGAGGCGGAGGCGTTCGTGGACGACGTCCGCGGGGGCTTCCTCGACCCGCTGAAGGTGAAGGAGGCCAGGGCTGAGGAGCTGGAGTGGCGCCGCAGCCGCGGAGTGTGGAAGAAGGTTCCACGCCGCGAGATGGAGGCGGAAGGAGGTCGTGCCATCGACACGCGGTGGATTGACACCAACAAGGGGGACCTCGAGCGACCGCTGTACCGCTCGAGGCTCGTGGCACGGGAGATGAAGGTTCGCCGGCGCGCCGAGGGGCTGCTGCCGCCGCAGCAGGACCTCTTCTCGGGGACGCCACCGCTGGAGGCGTTCAAGGCGCTGGTCAGCCTTTTCCTCAGCAGGGCGTTCGAGCAGTTCCAGAGCTCGGAGCCCCGCGAGGTGCTGTACAAGTTCTACGACGTGTCGCGTGCCCACTTCTACGGGCACGTGCAGAGGCGCCTCTGGGTGGAGCTTCCGCCCGAGGAGCGCCAGGGCGAGGAGGAGCCACTCGTCGGACTTCTCCTTCGCACGATGTACGGCACGATGGATGCGAGCCAGGTCTGGCAGGGTGACTACGTCGAGCTGCTCAAGTCCGTCGAGTTTCTGCAGGGGAAGTCGAGCTTCGCCATCCTGTGGCACCCAGGGCGTGACATCGCCCTCGAGGTGCATGGCGACGACTTCGGTGTGCTGATGCATGCAGACGACGAGGCCTGGTTCGACGAGTTGTTGAAGAAGTACGACTACAAGGTCACGGGCCGCCTCTCATCGGCGGCCGAAGGGGTCCAGAGCACGGTCTACCTGAACCGCGTGCTCATCTGGGATCCCGCCGCAGGTGAAGCACGCATCGAGTCTGACGTCCGTCACGTTGACATGATCCTTCGAGACCTGCACCTGTGCGACGCCAAGCCGGTGCAGACGCCTGCGGTCAAGAAGAGTGTGACCGAGATGATAGAAGCCTCTCAGTCCCAGACGCTCGATGACGCACAGTCCAAGCTCTACCGCTCACTGGTCATGCGTGCGAGCTACATCGGGCAGGACAGGCCGGACCTCAGCTACATAGCGTCTTCTCTGGCCAAGTCGATGAAGACGCCACGAGAGTCGGGCATGATGGACCTGAAGCGCCTGGGGCGATACCTCAAGCAGGCCAGGGCCGGCTCGCTGGTATTCAAGCTGCAGGAGGTCCCCGCGCGCATCGAGATCTTCGTAGACGCTGACTGGGCTGGCGAGGCTACCACCAGGAAATCACGCAGTGGCATGATGCTCATGCTCGGCTCCCATCTTGTGAAGCACGCTTCCACTCAGCAGACCACGGTGGCGCTGTCTTCGGGGGAGTCCGAGTACTATGCGATGCTGAAGGGCGCGAGCCACGCTCTGGGGCTCCAGTCGATGCTCCAAGACTTCGGCGTGCAGCACCTAGAGAGGCCGCTACTGCGCAGCGACAGCGTGGCGGCCGAGGGCATCGCCACGCGGCAGGGTCTTGGCGCTGTCCGCCACATCGACACGAGATTCTTGTGGCTCCAGGACCAGGTCAAGGCAGGCAAAGTAGAGATCGAGCATGTGCCGGGACTCCAGAACCCGGCTGATGCATTCACAAAGGCGCTGGATCAGACACATCTGAGACGGCATTTTGAGGCTATGGGCTTTAAGGTGCGCGACGAGGGCAGCCGGCTCCATCGCACTCTCTAGGGCGTGTGTGTGGCGCCAGGCAGATGCATGAGTTTTCTTTTCTTTCCTTTTCTTTTCCACGGACCTAGATGTCCCGCACTGAGGCGGGAGTTGCGGACGATGCGCATTGAGAGTGGTCGGCCGTGCACGGACCTGGCGGGCGAGAGGCCTGCAGGCACGCGCGGCCTTGGCGCCGCGGGAGTGGGGCTTTGGCCCGCTGTCCGCTGCGTCCGAGAGGGGGTGTTTCCCTTCACGTGCACAATCAGTGGTATCTGTTCTTATCGATATCGTTTGACGTCCGCAGCTCATTTGTGTCAAAGGAGCGTTGCACTAGTCATCAATGGGCTCGCTTTTACCCAAATTCTATCCCCCGAAGAGGAGTCGCGCCAGAATTACTGTGGAGGGCACCCCGGCAGATTATTGGTTCCCGAATCTATCGGGGGCCCCCAAACGGTGCGGTGACCACACCGTGTGGTGAGTCGGTAGGGATTCGGGGTCACTGCACGGTTTTGGGACTCGGGTCGTCCTCCGAGGATGTCTCGGGCGACTGGAGTTTCCAGAGTCCCCAAATCTGCTTTCTATCTAAATTTCAAGGTGCTCAACATCGCCGAAGATTTCCCGAAGATCATGCGGGCGAAGCTCCGCAAGGCTGGCAAGAGCGGCTGGGCCATCAGCGCAGCGAGTCAAGGCAGCCAGCTTGTTGCGGATTCGAAGAGGTTTGAAGCTAAATGTTCGAGCATGATCGCAGGCAAATTGACTGCCATTATTCCTGGTAAGCTGGAGGAGAACGGGATTCAGTTCGAGATGTGTCAGGTCCATTGCACTACGATGGGCTTCTTTATCATTCGTTGCGACGTTCTCGAGGTGGATCTGATCAGGCTGTTTGAGAAGGTTCGCGGTACAAGCTTCGCTGACAAATTAAGTCCCCTCGTTGGTTTCGCTCGACGTCTTTGTGATGTGGATCGGCGCATCATCCGGAAGATTCAGCAGCAGATGATGATTAAGTTGGAACAGGAGGTACTAGCAATGTTGAAGGAGAAAATTGCCATGAACATGATCGTGATCACGAAGCCGTCATCAGAGCAAGCAGACTTTTCTGTCGGCGCACTTGCTCCACACAGGGTCGAGATAGAAGTCAACGTGTTGAACGCTGCGCAGGTAGGTCTAGATATGGCACACGACAGGGCTACATGGAAATTTAGGGCCGTCTCGGCCGAGGAAAGCTGCTTGGAACATGGGCGCCTTCGAGGGCGCGAAGTTATTCGCGCTTCGCGGTTCGGCTCCGATTCCTCATCCTCCTCCTCTCCCTTGGGAGGCGGCGCGACACTTCGCGCAGCGCGAAGCGCGAAGTTGGGAGCCCTTGTGGAGTGGCTGCGGGAGCCACTGCGTCTGGTGCCGCCGCGCTCCTGTTCCGGACAGGTTGCTTGGGAAGTTGGTCGCACGCGGGCTTGCCAAGCGCCTGCCCGCACACATGGCGGAGGCTGAGGGGTGGTCCCGTCCGTGCTGGAGAAGTTGGTCTCTGTTAACCCTCCTCCTCCACCTCCACCTCCTCATCCCTCCTCCTCCCTCCTTCTCCTCCTCCTCCTCCTCCGTGCTCCTCCTCCTCCTCCTCCTCCTCCTCCTCCGCCCTCCTCCTCCTCCTCCTCCTCCTCTTCCTCCTTCGCTCTGTTCTGCTCTGCGAGGTAGTTGATGTGGACGTCGGCGCGTTCCGCGGCGCTTCGGAAACAGTCAGATTGTGGAGTTTGAGGGCGGCGAGCGACGAGTACTTTCTGAGGCTCGTCCACGGGTGGCGCTCGGCGGTATACGAAACGGTCAGGAGGGATATGTTTTCGGTGATTCCCGGCGCCTCAGGGAAGCGCACGAGTTGGATGTCAGTATTAAGGTGCATGACGTAAAACGCGGCGATGTTGAGATGATGGAGTTTGAGTTCTCGGACTCAGAAACAGAAGGCAAGGCTCACCATAACCCAGATGCCCAGCGATTTGGTACAAGGGCAGCAGATGCTGAAGTCCGCATCGACAGCCACACAATCGCTTGCATAGCCTAACAGCAAGTTATATGACGCGTGGGGATGAGCAAGGGCTCGTATCTCAGCAGCTGGCGACAAGAAAACCGCCGCGATCCCCTCTCCTTTCCTACTTCCCCTTCCCCTCCCCCGTGCGTATCCCCTCGCCCCTGCCCCCCCCGTCTCAGTCTCCTTCCCTCTTCCCCGCCCCCTCCCGCCGTGACAAGGCTTCGGGCTGCGCACAGACAGCGCAATTCGATGGGCGGCGGGGGTAGGGTTCGGAATCCGTCGAACGCGTGGCGAGCTCCGAACGCTTTTCCCCGCCTCCAAGCGATTTAGGAGTATCGATGGCTCGGGGGGCAAGTGAGCAGGAAAAGGCCTTCGCAGAAGGAGTCGGGGCTTCTCAGAAGCCCTTCGTGCCTTCTGAGAAGTTTTCTGTATCTTCGGGACTTCTCAGAAGGCTGGGGTACTTCCGAGCCTTCCGAGAATGCCCGCCCCTTCACACTCCCCCCCGGGCTCGCCGCCGATGTGCGCAACCCGAAGACTTACCAGTGCCAGTTCCCGTCCTTCGCCCCCGACGTTATTTTTACTCATGGCCTGGGCCCCATCGGTCTAGGATCTTTCCCCAGGATCGGCTTTTCCCTTCCCGAGTCGTGCTCTGATTGTCTCGAGGCCCAGTGAGGGCCCAGAAAGCCTAACAATAGCAAAACTTGCCCGTCGCGTTTTTCTCGCAATGCGAGGAGGCGGGGTTCGAACTTGTCCTGCTGTTCTCCCCCCCGTGTCTGGTGGCAATGCTCGCTTGAAAGGACCGTCACTGTCACGGTGGCAGACGACTGCGTGTTGCTGGTGCTGGAGCGCGCGGGCTTCGAGGCAGCGATCGCCGCCGCCGGCGGCGAGTCCAGGCTACCGATTCTGGAGGAGCTCATCGGGCATGCGCGTGCGGTATCTACCCTGAGTTCGGGCCTGTCTCTCGACAGGGGGAATATTCAAAAATAGTCAACGCTGGGGACGATTTTTTGACTAGTTCTAAGCAGTTTGGGGGTCATCTTTTGACTATTTTTTCCGTTCGTCCCAAACCCCCCTGTAGGGGGACGTGCCCGACCGAAGGCTTGCGGCATCTACCCCCGATCCGGACGGAGATGTTCCATCACTTTTGGCGTCTCTGGGCCTTCGACGGGCCCCCGGACCGTCAAAAACAGCTGCGCGGGACGCGGCGCCGGTCCCCGGGAGAAGGGCCCGGCGTTCCGGGAGGGCCCCGTGCTGACAGAAATCAAGGCGTCGGAGGTCGGGGTCATCTTCCCTCCTTCTCATCTCGAGTGTTGCTGGAGGTGCCCCTGGCCCAAGGCATCCCCAGAATTCTCGGGGTGGTCCCGACGGTCTCCAGGGCACCCCTCACGAGGCCCAGGGGGGCCCCAGGGGCTCCAAAATAGTCCGAAAAGCTGGGGGCACCTTGGGCCAGGGGCACACACCAGATCATCCTGTTGTTGTTGCTGCCACTGTTCCCTCCTCTTCCTCGGCCCTTTCTTCCTCCCGCTCCTCCTCCTCGACTCCTCTGCCTTTCCCCCCTCCCTGCCTCCGCCTTCCCTCGTCGCTGGCCCCTCCTCCCCTCTGCCCTCTCCCCCCTCGCCCCCCTCCTCTCTCCCCCCATCCCTCCCTCCCTCCCTCCCCGCTCGCCTTCTTAACATCTGGGCCGCGCGGTGTTGAAAATGCCTCTCGGCATGGAGTTTCGGCATGCTGATTCCCCCGTCGGTGACCAATTGCGATTTTCAATTACAGTGCCCCTGCCGGGGCTCGCACTCTTTTTATTAGGGAAAGTCGGGGGTCACTCTTTTTCCCGGAAAGGGCGCCGGCCCAGGGTTCTCTTTTAGTTGGTAAACTTGTCCCCGGTGCCTCAACTGAGGTGGGCCGGCGGATTCTTTCCCTGATAAATATCGAGGTAGAGGTTGACCAGCGGATTAAAAATTGAGGATGTCTCAGGCGAAACGCTTGTTTTTGAAATTCCGATGGATAAATTACAGGGTGCGGGCCACTCTTTCGTGTATTGAGGATGTCTCGAGCGAAACGCTTGCTCCGCAGAGTTACCGAGGATGTCTCGAGCGAATCGCTTGTCGTGGAAGTGGCCGTCGCCCAATACGGTGTCGTGAAAACGTTTCCATGCATGCGGTTCTATATTCCTTTCCGGGTTCGTGGGTCCATCATGTTATCAGGGAAAGTCGGGGGTCACAAAATTGGGTTGTCGGCCCATTGTTTACAACAACATCAACAACAATAATCATTTTAAGACTGTTCGCTTTCGTGCAGCCCCGAAGGAAGGGGATGAGAAGACGGATGGAAGGAGGGGAGGAGGATGGAGTATGAGATAGAGTAGAAGGAGGAGGGCTAGGATCAGAAAACACGTGGCAGAAAAAGACGGGCAGATCGGGCGGGGAGACCCTACCAGGCGTGTCGGGAAGATGGGCCCAGGCTGCCAGGTCGAGCAAGCGGGTTGCTGAAACGTGCGTCCTGCATGAATCGCGCGGAAGTTTTGAGCGACAGCGCGATTCCCAAGTAAACCGTGAGGACATCCATAGCGAGAACGTGATTCATGAGTGTCGAGGGCGCGGCGTCTGAATAAATTGCGAGGAAGTCCCACGCGAGAGCGCGATTCCCTCGCGGTTCATGCAGTGCTCACGTCAGCAACCCGCTTGCTCGACCTGGCCGCCTGGGCCCGCTTTCCCGACCCGCCCGTCAGGGCCCGACCCGCCCGTTAGGGTCGACCCGCCCGATCAGCCCGCTTGGCTCTGCCACGTGGTTTCTGTTCCTTGCCCCCCTCCTGCGAATCCCGTGTTCCATCCTTCTCCTTCCCCCTTCCATCCGTCCTCTTCTCCATTTTTTCAGGGACTGCACCAATTACGCGCGGCAGGTAGAGAAGATATACCCCTAGAGGGGGTACGATCGAAGACGAAGAGGGCGGGTGCCTAGGATTTCGGGTATACGTGTGGGATGGCACGCGGGGACATGAGCGAACAGTGTTATCAATGTGTGTTAGTGTTGTTGTTGTTGTTGAGCTCTGATTCTTTTGAAGAGTACTCGTTGTTGATCCCGCCCTCGCTTCGTTTTTCGCTGTAAGCGCCATTTCGTTTTAAGCATCGTTGTGGTCCATCCGGTCCCTGGCTCCATTCTTCTCCCTCCCCCGTGTCTGTCCTCCCCCTGCTCCCGGGACGCCGCGCCACGGGATGCCACGGAGCCGCCCCACGGGGACTTTGGCGGGACGCGCCCCGTGCCTCCGCCGGCAGGCCGGGCGGGCGTCGAGAGTCACGGAGCTCAGTCTCGCCCTCACCACGGCGGTCTTATTCCTCCTCCTCCTCCTCCTCCTCCTCCTCCTTTGCTCCTCCTCCTCCTCCTCCTCCTCCTCCTCCTCCTCCTCCTCCTCCTCCCCCTCCGTCTTGTCCTTTCCTTCTCCTCCTCCTCCTTTCCTCCTCCTCCTCCTCCTTCTCCTTCTCCTTTCCTCCTCCCCCTTTCCTCCTTCTCTCCCTCCTTCTCCTCCTTCTCCTCCTCCTCCTCCTCCTCCTCCTCCCCCTTTCCTCCTCCTCCTCCTCCTCTTCGCCCGCCCACGCATTCTCGCCTCGCCCGCACGCGCGGCACAAGCACGGAACCGAAACCGAGTTTCCCGTGGGGGTGTCCGTTTCATTATGATTTCACCCCGCAACCACCCATATATAGAGATATAGACTAGATCTATGTGTGGATATGTCTGTCTGTCTGTCTGTCTGTCGATTTGCTTGTCTGTCTGTCTGTCTGTCTGTCTGTCTGTCTGTCTGTCTGTCTGTCTGTCTGTCTGTCTGTCTGTCTGTGTGTCTGTGTGTATGTACTTACGTTATGCATGTATGTGTCTGCATGTGTGTTTGTGTATGCCTGTATGTATGTATACATGCACGCATGTCATGTGTGCATACATGTGTGTATGTATGTACACACCTGTGTCGCTATGTGTGTATGTATGTATGGATGGATGGATGGATTAATTAATGCATGTGTATACATATAACGGCGCACCGGGTCCGGGGGCCCGGGGCCGGGACCCCGACCACAAATGTGGGCCCCGGGGGGCCCGGAGGCTCGTCGGACCGCCGGACGCCGTCCAAGATCGTTCGCAGGCGGCTTCGGAACGCGCTCCGATGGCTCCAGATGCCTTCCAAGACGCCTGTCATGACACCAAGAAGGTCCCAGAAGCCTCCAAGACGCTCCGAGAGGCAGCCCAAGAGAGGCCCAAGAAGCAAAAATCGTGCCATTCCTATGGGAAAACGTATATTTTTCGCATGTTCGCCTCTTGGGCTTTCACCGGGTCCAAGACGGCCCAAGAGGCGCCCAAGACGGTCTACGAGGCCTCCGGGAGCGCTCCAAGGCTGCGCATGAGTGGCCCAGGACGGCCCCAAGACGGCCGACGAGAGCCCCAAGACGAGTTCGAGAGGGGTCCCAGACGGAGAAAGCCAACCTCGAATTCCGAGCCAGGAGGCGCCAAAATGCCGCCAAGAGGCGCCAAAAGGCTCCCAAAAGCACCCCAAGACGTTCCGAGAGGCACCCCAAGAGAGGTCCAAGAAACAAAAATCGTGCCATTCCTATGGGAAAACGTATATTTTTCGCATGTTCGCATCTTGGGCTTTCACCGCGTCCAAGACGGCCCAAGAGGCCTCCAAGACGGCCTAGGAGGCCTCCGGGAGCGCTCCAAGGCTGCGCACGAGTGGCTCAGGACGGCCCCAAGACGGCCCAAGAGAACCCCAAGACGACTTCGAGAGGGGTCCCAGAAGGAGAAAGCCACTCTCGAATTCCGAGCTTCCGGCCCAACATATCCCAGGAGGCGCCAAAACGCCGCCCAGAGGCGCCAAAAGGCTTCCAAAATCAGCCCAAGACGTTCCGAGAGGCACCCCAAGAGAGGTCCAAGAAACAAAAATCGTGCCATTCCTATGGGAAAACGTATATTTTTCGCATGTTCGCATCTTGGGCTTTCACCGCGTCCAAGACGGCCCAAGAGGCCTCCAAGACCGCCCCAAGACGGCCCAAGAAGCTTCCAAGAGGGCCCCAGGACAGCCCAAGAGGGCCCCAAGACGGCCCAAGAGGCGCCCAAGATGGCCCAAGAGGGCCCCAAGACGGGCCCAAGAGGGGGCCCAGAGGGGGACCACGAACCGCAAGCTCGAGCCTTCCGCCCCAAGAGGCCGCCAGGAGGCCCCAAGGAGGCCCCTCAAGAGGCCCCAGGAGACCCCCAAGAGGCCCAAAGGAGGCCCCGAGAAGCCCCAAATCGGCCCCCAAAATGCTTCGAACCTGCTTCCAGGAGGCCCCCGACAGGTTCAGAGGCTCCCGAGAAGCTACGTCAAACTCCCAGCGAGCGGCCGGACGAGGCCCCCCACAAAATCACAAGAGGGTTCCAGTATTTGTGTCCTTCAGCGCTCTCTGGCCTTCTTCCCCCTGCCCCCTTCCCTGCGACTTTCGTTGACTCAAGCTCGCCTCCTAGCTAGAACCTAAGCGCGCGCGAAGCGCGCGTGGTTCTAGTGTATATATATATATATATATATATATATATATATATACATGCATGCATGACTGCATGCATGTATGTATGCATGTACGTGTATGTATGTATGTATGTACGTACGTACGTGCGTACGTACGTAGGTATGTGCGTGTGTGCATATATGCATGCAAGCATGCATATGCATGCATGTATGTACCTATGAAAACAAATTGTAGACGCCTGTTATGTACATGCAGTTGCGCGCCGGCGTACAGGACGCCAGGGAGATGCAAAACCTGATGGCCGACCGCGACGCATTCGGGCAGATATCGTGTTTCAGGACGCGGCACCGCCCGTTGAGAAGCGCAAGGTTACACGCCGAGTTTAGCCTCGAAGAAAAGAAGAAAACAATGGAGAATGATACATTGCATGAATTTCATCTTTAAGAGTTCCGCACAGCGTTCTTCAGCGCTGGGCCCCGCTTGCGGTGCCTCAGGCGCAGCCCCTGGCGCCTTCCGCGCGCGAGGGAGGGGGTATCCAGTAATGATCCGACAAATTCTCGCGGATTTCCGATACATGATGTTTCTGTTATATGTTGTTCATTTGTGTTTTTCGAGTTTTACCAACAGCATCCTTGGGTCCAGGACCGGTGCATGTGCTCTCTTTTAGGGAGGGCACGCGCACTTGTCTTGCCCCAGGTTAGGACTAGACAGTTTCCTTGACCTAGGGCAGGACCAGACAGGGCCGCCAGCGTCCCGATGCGATGCGGTTCCCATGCGAGGCCATTCGGTTCAGCTCTTGGGCATCGGCCAGGGCCAGCTGCAGCTGGGCGCGGCGATCCGATGGTGATTTGATAAGTTGGCGATCCGATCCGTTTCCGATCCGACGCGATTCGATTCAGCTCAGGCCTGCCAGAGCGTTTCGGCGCAGCTGGGCGACTGAGCCCTCCGAGGTCGCTGCACATCTTTGGGATTTTCCTTGGCCGCGCGCGCGCTTTTTGTCCCCCCCCCCATTCTCTGCCTTTCGTCCTGTCGCGCTTCAACTTGTTTCGTTGCGTCCCTCCATTGCCCTACGCTGCTTGGATCCAAGTGGCCGCCGACGAAAAAAAACCTTGACACGCGCGCGTCAGGAGGATCTCTTGGGTGGTGTTCGGAGTTATGTTTCGACAGGGACTGGAGCCCCACGGATCCACGGGGTGTGGCGTTGCTGTCCGGGGCGCGCATGGCCAGGCGCTCTATCTGCGACGAGCTTTTGGGAGCGCATGGAGCTCAAGTGGGAGTCGCATCCCTCAGAGGGGTTTAGGTTTCGAGAGTGTTCTGCAGTGCGCGAGCGTACATACACGAAGCTGGCCTCGCAAGCTAAGGGGCCTTATTCATGTATATTGCTGCGCGCGTGCGTTTTCTGCGGGCTCAGCGCTTCCAGAGTGCACTGCCAGAGACCATGAGCGACTGAGCGGAGCTGTTCCCGAGTGCGTGTTGCGAGGACGTCCCCAGCGGGAGCAACACTCCAAAGTTCACTGCGCTGGAGTATCGAGCAGGGGCCACGCTGCGGAGCACATTGGAAGGGATGTCGAGCGGTAGGTTCTGAAACAACACATGTGTCAGCAGTAGCGGCAGCACAAGCAATTACAATTCCAGCAACAGTGGCATGTGTGTTGGCAATAGATGCCCAGCCAACACGAAAATTGTATTGTTCTGGTGGCATCAGTGGACATCGGGGTGATATTCCGCCACTCGCCAGTCTTAGAGATGGTGATTGCCGGAAAGGGGGCAACCACAGTACTCACTGGCCATATGGAGATGGTTGCCCAGAAGCCCAGAAGGGAGGGAGCGAAATCTGTACATTTCTCTGGCCCTACTTAGCGGCTGGGACCAGTGATGTACACTTCCACCCCCCAGAGGGCTCCAATTCACGAGTGCCTTGTTGGGACCGCGCGTGTTGTAGCAGAGCGCTGTCCGACCGCGTCCCCAGATGTTACGCCCAACTCTGTAGGGGACAGGCCCGACCCAAGTCTGGGGTGGAGGCGCCGCTCTGGGAGATGTGGCCCTGGGCCCACGGGATCTCCAGGCTCCCGTGCCGCGCGTCGAGCGGGGCGTGGTGCCGCTTCGGGAGCCGTTCTCTCGTCGCGCTCGAGGTGGGCCCGTCTTGCTTCACTCGTCTGATGATATTCCAGCCGGCTTTAGCTTTTATCGCCAGGAAGATTTTCGAGCACCAAGGAATTACCGAAGTTTGAGGGTTTTCACGTGTCGGGCCCTGGCAGACACTCGTTCGACACTGTTTCGACACTGTTTCTACGCTTTTCCAGTTGCTCGAAATTGTTTCTGGGATGTGACTTGTAAGTTTGATGGGAGCAACATAGCATTCGTCGTCCTCATCCTCATCGTTGAACTCTTCTTCGCATTCGAGGTCGCATCGCAATGACAAAAACAATGACGAATGCAAACAACTAGATGCTGTCATCGCTGAGGCACATGCATCTTGTCTTGATCGTCTATTTTGTGAAGGCAAAGGCACTCTCGATTATGGGCGCTTCGTCGGCGCCCGCGCCTGTTGTGGAGAAGGCTCCCAGGACTTCCCCACCCATTGCTTTATTCGTGGCGGCGTGCGCAAGGCAAGGGGATGACCCGAGGGTGGGGCCTTCTAAGAGGGCGGGGTGCTTAGAAGGCTGGGTCCTTCTTCGTAGAGGCCCTCCCAGCTCCTCAGAGGCCTTCTTGAAAAGTCCCAGGCCCTCCCAATAAGGCCCCCGCCTCCCAAGAAGCACCCCGCCTGCTTCGAAGCCCCCCCTGGCGCCACCCCCTTGTGCGCGTCGCCAACATTGGTCTCTCTCTCTGACTCTCGTGTTTCTCTTTGGCTCTCTCTCTCTCTCTCTCTCTCTGTATCTCTCTCTCTCTCTCTCTTTCTCTCTGTCTCTCTTTCTCTCTCTCTCTCTTTCTCTCTGTCTCTCTCCCTCTCTCTCTCTCTCTTTCTCTCACTCAGTTTCGGCTCGCGAGGTGTGCCCCCTGGGTGCCTGCCAGCGCAGGCGAGGGCCCCCCCGCGCGCGCCGAGACCAGCGCACGGCACGACGCCGCCAAGGGAGGCGGCCAGCCATCAACGCGCGCGGCTCCGCCGAGCGGCGGATCGCGCCCTGCTGCACGCCTGGGCGGGCAAGGCCACGCCCCGCCTCCAGGCCCTGCTGCAGAGCACGGCAGAGAGGCTCAACGAGCACCACGGCTCCTCCTCGGGCTCGATGGTGCCGCAGCCTGATGAACGACAAGCGCGGGTTTTTAATGGGCCGTGTGAGCCCACGTGGGCCTGCCCCTGCTGCGGCACGAGTTCAAATTGGGTTTTCCGCGTTGTCTGCCGCTGCGGCAAGGCGGCCCCATACCACGTGGTGCAGAAGGCAAGGAAAGCTGATCAGAAAGCCAGAGAGTCGGGCGCGAATGGATCACCTGCTGCAAGGCCGCCTTCGAAGTCTGTGGGTGGGGCGGGCCTTCGGTCTACCCTCGCGCCCTGGGCTCCTGAGGCCAAGGAGATGGCCAAGATGCAGAACCAGCTCAAGCAGCTCCTGGCAGAGAACAAAAAACTCAAAAAGAATAACGGCAAGCCCTCGGACATGGAGGTTGACGAGGCCGAAGATGGAGACAACGTGGCGGCGTCTTCATTGGTCGCGCAGCGCACGGAATTGCAGGCGAAGATCTCCAAGTACGAGCATACCATCAAGATGTACAAAGACGACGGCGAGGACGAGCTGGTGCGCGACCTTCAGAAGAAGCTGGAGGCGACCAAGCTGCAGGTCCAGTCGCTGCGCACGCCTGCGATGGCCCACAGGCAGTGCACGCAGAAGCTTCAACGGGTTCAGAAGCAGATCGGCACGGCGAATAATGACCTGCAGTCCTTGCAGCAGAAGTTGGAGAAGGCTCAGAGGAAGCTGGACGAGAAGAAGGACTTCCTGGAGAGCAAGGTCGCCGAGGAGCAGATTCTCACGATGCAGCTGGCTGGGCACGCGGCCAAGCCCAGCGGCGCGGCTGAGGCTGGCCTGGAGGTGCCCCCCGACATCCTGCGGCTCGACCCCGAACCTGCCCTGCTCAAGTCGGACCCCGACCTGCTGCAGTTCTACACCTCGTTCTCGGCCAACCCCCTGTTCGCCAATATGGAGGAGCTGTACAGGCAGAACATGGCGGCCAGGCTTGCTCAGGCGAGGTCTCCTGAGGTTTCTCCTGCCCGCGAGCCTGGTGCTCACGCCGGCGACGGCGAGCCTCAGGGAGGAGGGAACCTGCTGCAGACGAGCAGGGAGGTCGACATGACAAACGCGAGTCATCTTTTATGTGGGAAAAAGCTGACGTCGAGGAACTCCACCGAGCCATGTACCAGGGCAAGAGCGAGAGCGACGTGTCCGTCAGCCCCGAGCAGCTGGCCGAGATGGCCGGCAACATCCAGAACACGAAGCATCGCAAGCTCGACAGCGGAGGGGCGGCCAAGACAGGCGGCTCCTAGCAGCGATCGTGCTGGGCGACGGATGCCCGTCGTGACGGGCCTGAGCGCTCGGCGTCGCGACTCTGCGGTGGCCTCGATGCCGAGCGAGGTGATCGAGTCCCACTTCATCGAGACGTACAACGCGAACCAAGGGAAGCAGACGCTTAAGAGGAGGCTAAGCTGCACCAAGTCCCTCATCGTGCTCGCGCAGGAGATAGGGTACCACGACTGGGAGTGCGAGGCCCTCAGCTCCTGGTGTGCCAGCCACACGTGGCACGTCATGGTCGTCCCAGGCCCCCCTACTGCAGGTAAGCTCCCAGCGGCAGGTCTGGCCATCTTTGCGCGTGAAGGCATCGGGCCACGTGGGCCCACTTACCCTGCGACGAGCCCTGCAGCACGGAGGTCCACCGTCAACGAGCAGATCTCCTTCGGCAGCGAGCTGGTACCCTTTCGGGCCCAACATGCAGCGGTTGAAGTTCCGGGGTGGCCACCGCTCAAAATCCTCAACATCTACCTGCGCACGGGCGAGGGCATGTCCTTGAAGAGCGCCAAGATTCCCACGAACGTGGGGCTGGCGCTGGCAGGGCAGCCGCATCCTTCCATCATAGGTGGTGACAGGAACATGACTGCGGTGGAGGTCGAGGCATCGTCGTTCACGGCTCACGCCCAGGTCTCCCTGCTGGCGCCCAAGTTCATCGCGTGCAGGACGGCGACGGCCAACTCGGTGGTCGATTATTTCGCTCTCACCCGGGGGGGCATGAGGCTCGCGAAGGCCATCCAAGCGGACATGAAATGGGCCATCAAACCACATCGGCCAGTGGTCGTGGATATTGCTACTATGGGCAAGCAGCTGACGTACCTCACCTACGTGGGCGGGGGCAAGATCGC